ATGTTCTTAATTAACAGATATAATGCAATTATTTTTTTTCAAACTAAATTGTTTTTCTTTGTCCTTTTAGGGTATAAAGCCAGCAAGCTTTGAGAAAGTTACTGATCCTGAAATTAAGGAGATAATTGGGGAGTGCATTTGCAAAAATAAAGAAGAAAGGTTTGTTTCAACTAATCAAGTTTTGAATTAAATAATGTGTATGCAGAGATTTCAAAGCTGTCTGTAGGTTTTTGTTCTGGCCTCTGAGTCTCCCCTCTGCAGGAGAAAATACAGAATGGAATTACAGCTATAAATGATTGCCTGCTTTCCTGACAGGAATGTCAGGATGGTTGAATAAATGCTGTTGGTGTGTCTCCCAGCCTCTCAGCTTCAAAGAATAAGGTCAGAAGCACTATTGTGGACATATTAGCTAATGTATTCTAGCACATTCTGGCACAGCTGTCTGTAAAATCTCGCTTAGGAGGTTCTGTGTGGAGCATCAAGTGTGGTGGAGGTTGGCCATGAATGTGACATAGTATATTCACCACAGGCAGATTCCATTGGCTCATTAACTTCTGGATGTGGAGACAAATTGTGCCTTGTTTCCAGCTTTGGTTTTAAAATCTAATCTTATCCTGGCTTCTCCTAGATAAGTACATCTACTGTTCAGTATTTCATAACTTTCACAAATACAGTTTTTAGGGACCTCAACTGCTTGCCTAGAGGGAACTTCTTCGTTTTTTTAGTACTCTTTAAGTCAGATGCTCAAGAAAAACCGGGCAAAGCTATAATCTGCATTTCTGTACATGCTGATGGGGTATGAATATTGCTGAAGCTTTGTGAAACGGAATGTCCTCAGTAACACTGGAAATACTGTGTCTTTTTGCTAAGAACGCAAATTTGTTAGGGGTGAACGCCAAATGTACAGCTAACATTTCCTACCTTTAACACCATTTTCCTGTCACAACCTTCTCTGAAATTGCTTAAGACTTGCACTATTTGAATATTCTTTATATCCATTTCAGATATGAAATTAAAGATTTATTAAGCCATGCCTTTTTTGCTGAAGATACTGGGGTAAGAGTGGAACTTGCGGAAGAAGACCATGGTAGGAAATCCTCTATTGCCTTAAGACTCTGGGTAGAAGATCCTAAGAAACTGAAAGGAAAACCCAAAGATAATGGAGCCATTGAGTTTACTTTTGATCTGGAGAAGGAAACTCCTGATGATGTTGCACAAGAAATGGTAAAATAAACTTCTGACAAAAAATGTATATACATTTAATTGTGCATAAATCTGAAAGGATAGCAGGAACAAGTCTGGTAAAGTAACTTCCACTTAAACCATTCCAGATGTCTAGTTTAAGCAGTTTGCATTGATTTTTAGAATAAATTCTACAAGAAAAGGGTACACAGGGAAGAACTGATAACTGAAAAATATCATTTACCAAGTATGCAAGCAGATGCATGAAAAGGCGTTTCAAATAGCTTAGGGACCATGGAGGTCTCTTCTACTTTTACATTTTGAAAACTCTTGCCAATTTCTGTTAGCTGTTGAATGTCTTTAAATTAGTTTGGGATCTGTTTAGTTTCAGACAGCAGCTTGAAATGAATTAGGAAAGTCCAAAAGTTCAATCACAAAATACTCCACACTGAATTCTTCAAAACACTTCTTTCCATCTTTTCTGTCAGCTTTCCTTAGGAGGAATGTAGATGAGGAAACTGATCAGGCACTCTATCACCAAACATACATAGGAGGCTAGAGTCAAGCCCTCAGCACAGTTAGGAATAAGCTTTGGATTTTTTAACAGATAAGTTGAACTTCATCAATTTCTGTATCTTCATAACTTGTAGGGTTTTGTTAGAAAACCTATTCTGTGTTCCAGTTTCATTATAGTCCTTGAACTCAGATTTTAATGATGCCTTTACTGCAGTTGTTTAGGTTTTCCAATGTCATTGAGTCAGAATCAGTAAGCACTGAGTCAAGAGGCTGAATCTTGTGCTTGCAGAAATGTTCCTATTATAATCTAAATCCCAAGGGATCCCGTGTTGTCATTACCACTCCTGTTCTGCTTAGGAGGCACTCATTTTTGTGCTGTTGCCTTACAATGCTTGGATTCACTACTATGTACTCCAAATTTAGTGGGAGAAATGCAGGCTCATCTGTTGTCTTGTTAGTTTGCAGTAGGGCATAATTCTTTATCTTTATGGGGTTTCAGTAGTCAGGCATTCCAGCCTGTCCAAACAATGTTGGCAAAAGGAACCTGAAGCCTTCTAGTGGGTAGCAGCCTGGTTAACTTTGACAACCAAAGGCCACTGTAAAATAGCATGTCTTCATTAAACTTTAAGCATTTTCTATATAGATATGTAGGAATAAGAATTGTTTGTTTTTTTTAAAAATTAACATGACAGGTTTTCAGTGCCTTCCCACTGAGCTTTGTCATGAAGAATCTACTGGGCGTGTTAGTTAATACCATACAAGGTTCTCTGGTCCCATGTGGTGTGGTCCTCTTGAGTAATTCCCTTCTGTCTTTAGCATTTGCTGGATTATTAGCTCAGGAATGTCAGTAAAGTCTGAGGGCACAAGCAGCGGAAAGTACCCATATCGAAAGTACCCATGTCCATCTTAGGCTATATTTTAAGCTGCTTTGCACCTATTCATTTTAAGCAGCAAAAAAATCTAAGCTGTAAAACTGTCTTATGTTTGGGCAAGAGCAAAGAAGGGACATCTCTAGATTTCCTCCATGTACATAAGTGCTTTCCAATCTGTAGAATGTGCATGTTAAGGATGTAGGGAGAGCAGACAAATATCTGGTAGGTCATTATTAAACTAAAATTCATACATGATACTGTAGGAAAGTATGCAAACAGCACAAAGATTAATTTCCTTTATATCTGTTGAACAGTTGAATTCTGAGAAGGCCTTGTCCTCTTTCCGGTCAAATGTGCATGGTCTGCTTTTGACTCAGTCACAGGCTTTTTCTTTATAAAAGTCAATCAATACTGACTGACTTTACCATTTAGGAGAAGTTAATTTGAGACTAAATTGTATTAAGATCTTTTTTTCGTGATTTACTGTGATACCAAGCACAGCAATGTGGGAACCTGTGTGTGCTGGCAAGGTTAAGGCAGTAAGTTCTGATTTAGGGGTAGGATGTTCACTGCAGTTGCATTGCTCAAAGCGTTTTTCAAAAATCATTTTTTCCTTTTTTGTCTATTCTGTTAGTCTTCCCCCCCAAAAAAGAAAAGAATAAAAAAAACCCCAACCCACAACCAAGACGGTACCCATCTGCAATTGAATTTGCTCTCTTCTCAATGGTTGTCAACTGGTGAATAAATTAACCCAATTATATTCAGGTCTTAGAAATTACACATTGGTGTTTTAAAATGTGTTAGGAATAGAAGCTTTGTTCAGAACACCTATCAAGCTCTTGATTTCCTGTTCTTGTGAGGAGAAAATACGTAATTCCCATTCTTTCAAATGATGTTCTCTCTGCTGGGAAGAGATTCAAGTAATACAGGTGTGTGCACACACACCCATGTGCACATAATCTTGATGTGTTTGTGCCTCCTCTTTAGATTGACTCTGGATTTTTTCATGAAAATGATCTCAAGATAGTTGCAAAGTCCATACGTGACAGAGTAGCATTAATACTATGGAGAAGAGAGCGAATTTGGCCCAGGATGCAGTCAGAGGAACGTCGGGACTCTGAGTGTCTGGAGAAGCTGAAGACGCCACATGCACAGCAGGTCCAGGTCACTTACCTTTCTCACACTGGTCACCATGTCCTGTCAGAGCCTGAGGAGCCCGAGGCAGACCAGCATCCCTTTCAGCAGAACCTGCCCACCAGCGTAACTTCTGTTGCATGTAAGTTTTGGGTTGGCTTTGTGTGCACATGGTGAGGAATGTTGGAGGGTGAAGAACAACAGTCTGATCTCAGTAGTGAGATGAGCTGCTCTAGAAGCTTTTGCACAGTAGCTCAAAGAACACGAGCATCTAGGGCAGATTCATAACAATCTTGAAAGAAAGTTTCAAGAAAAAGAGTATTATAGAGAGACAGCTCCTCCTTCAGTAGCAATAAATGCAGGAAACTATGTCTGTAAATGGAAAAGCAAGAAGACACAAAAATACCTGTTTTCTGTGTCAGGTGGTGGGAACAAGGCTAAGTTTGTGTGAAACACAGTTTCAGAGCCAGCAGAAATCGAATTGATATCAAACCAGAGTGACTGATGGCTTTTTCACATAATGTTGGCAATGTGGAGAGGGTGATGGGCACAACTTATTCCTGGGGAGATTCCAACCAGAGACAAGAGGAAAAATTTTCACGAGAACAATCAGCCACTGTAATAATCTCCCCAGGGAAGTGGTGGATTCCCCAGTACTCGATACCTTTAAGAACTGGCTGAATGGGGTGTTGGGACATCTAGTCTAGGTCACGCTTTTCCTAGAGAGCTTGGATCCTTGAGGTCCCTTCCAACCTGGTATTCCCTGATTCTATGATGGTTATTGAGATGGTTATTCAAAAGCAGACCTAGCTGAAACCAAAGCTCTGCAGCTTCTGTTCAAGTTCTCTGTTCAACTTACTCTTAATGGCTTCTGTGAAGTTTATTGTGAAGCTGTGCAAAGATCTACAGCAGAAAAAAGTTCATCTCTGAATGTTACGTGATGCAATTCAGAATTTCCCTGTTTAGTGGGAAACATCAGCTGTGGTTTGGGCACACATATTGGGAGCACCAGACCTTATGGGTTGACACTGTGATTGTTATTGGGGTCCTTAGATCATAGAATCACAGAACCACAGACTAGTTTGGGTTCAAAGGGACCTCATCCAGTTCCAACCACCTGTCATGGGCAGGGACACCTTCCACTAGAGCAGGTTGCTCCAAGCCCCTGTGTCCAACCTGGCCTTGAACACTGCCAGGGATGGGGCAGCCACAGCTTCTCTGGGCACCCTGTGCCAGCGCCTCAGCACCCTCACAGGGAAGAGCTTCTGCCTCAGAGCTCTCATCTCAATCTCCCCTCTGCAGGTTAAAGCCATTCCCCTTGTCCTGTCCCTACAGGCCCTTGTCCAAAGCCCCTCTCCAGGTTTCCTGGAGCCCCTTTAGGCACTGGAGCTGCTCTAAGGTGTCCTCTTGAGGAGCCTTTTCTTCTCCAGGCTGACCCAGCCCAGCTCTCTCAGCCTGGCTCCAGAGCAGAGCTGCTCCAGCCCTCGCAGCAGCTCCGTGGCCTCCTCTGGCCTCGCTCCAGCAGCTCCACGTCCCTCTTGTGCTGTTGCCGCAGAGCTGGATAAGGACTTTCTCTGTTCCCCCAGACTGTCTGTTTTGTCCTGAGCTCATGGCCTTGGAACCAAGGGCAGATCAGAGGAGGTGGTTGCTCTTGTTCATCCAGGCTCTGGTAGCTACAAGCCGATGATGTGCCAGTTCTTCACATTCAGCTGATGACTGATTCAAGAGTGATCACTGGGCTATTTCAATCCTGTTTTAATTCCAAGCAATGATTTTGGTCTATCTCTGAATAAGGAACTACCTGTTTTTGCTTTCCCAGCTGCTTGTTTCTTCATTTTATTTTTGAGCATCAGACTTATCTCTAGCAAATTGCAGCGTATGAAGAAGCAGTGGTGTTATTTCCCTAAAGTAACTTGTCCGTGGCTCTGTGTCCTAAAATCAGCCTTTATTACTGAGGCAACGTATTGAAATCTTAATCTGTTCATGATTTTAAATGTCTTGAAGGAAATGTGGCCAGATAATTTTAGCTTGGAAAATCTGAAATTTTGTGCAAATTCTTGGGTTTTCTTTTCTGGCCAATTTTTCTGATAAAATCTGATTTATGTATTTTGCTGCTAAACTATTAATCATAATGTTTCTGTTTTCCTGTTCTGTGGAAGTATATTTAAGTTAAAGATGCATTATCTTTAACAAAGAGGCAGCTGCTGCTTTAATTCAGGTATTGTATAAATTGCTATACACAGGTCTGCTTTGAATACAAGAATAACCAGGCATGCCCCTGCAAGAAACAAAACATTTACAAGATATAGAAATGACCATATTTGCATAACACTCAGAACATTGCAGTATTTACAAAGCTTCTTTTCTGAAGCTAAATGAATTCATTTCCATTTTTTTAGATCATATACTTATTTCATGCTAGCTAATTCCTTTGAGAAACACCCTAATTATGATTCTCTTTGTTTCCAGTGGTACTGGAGCCCACGTGTGCTTCCCATGGTTCTGTTGGACACGAGTTGGCAGAATTCTGTACTAAATATAAGCCCCCCAGTTTATTTCCTACTCCTCCTCAACTTTTAACCAGGACTTAGTGTTATTTGATAATTCACTATCAGGTATCTTTGAACAGTATCTTAGTGATGTTAGGCCAAAGACCTCTATAAATTACCTCTATAAATTACTCTACCAATTCATATAGTAATCTGAGGTCAAATGTAGAATTGAAAATTAATAACTTAATGGGTGTAATGTGCGTTCTATAAATGTCTGAGACTGACTCACAGCTTTTACTTTAGCACTCAACTGTCATACTCTGGGGTTTTTTGAGGTCTTAAATAATTTTTTGTAACAAAATGGATGTGTATGTGCTGCAGAAACCCCTGCCTTGGAGCAGGGCCATGCTGCCTCGCTTTAGAAATGAGCTGAATAAATTATAGAGGGTAGTTTAATTTTGCAAAAAGCCAGTTGGGAGAATAGCTTGTGAGCACTGAAGAGAAATGTCATCTCTGGTGCTATTAAAAAATAATTTGTTATTTAAAAGCTAAGTAAGTGAAACCTTATTTGGAATATGGAAAAAAGAGAAGATGGAAAGTGTTGGAAAAAGAAATAGCATTTAAACTTAACTGTAATTTAAGCAATTCTATTTTACTTTTGTTACAGTTTCCTTTCAGTTCTGAATTTTACGTCTCTGTTACAAGCTATGTGTCTTCTGGGTACTTATAGCTACAGTCTTGATTGTCTCATTTCATTTCTCAAATAAAGAAAACAGTAGCTTATGCTCAAAAAGAGCTGGGCACCTGTACTTCACAGGCCTCTAAATGCATTTTAAAATCAGTAATACTCAGTGGTACAATTTTATTTGCATTGGACAAAAGTACCTGTAGCTGTGCAATTCTGCAGGTTAGCTGGGCAAACACTGCAGGAGAAACTCCAACTGAGCTCTGAATGGTGCTGCTGAATGACTGCAAACCTGCAATTTATTTTGTTCCCTGTTCTTCATCTTGAGGCATTGCTATATACTCAATTAGGTTTGATTTGCTGAACTCGTAAGTTGTACAGTATAAAGAATTTTCTAATTTTCAGTGCTGCTAATAAAAAAAAGGTATTAAAGTGAGTGCATCCCTGGGAGATCTAACCCTGAAAGACTCCATGATCTGCTAAGAACTCTACAATCAGCGTTTGCTTTCCTTTCCTCCTACAAAATGTATAAATGTCTGTAATTCTTAATGTCAACCTTATGCCCTTTAAAGGAAATATCAATGTGCCTAAAATACCATCGTGCACAGAAATCCATGGGGATGGGTTTTGGCTCAGGAGAAGCAGTATGTGCCTTTTGTAGAAAATGACATTTGTGTTGTATAATTAATTTACTTAATGGAAGGGGCTGGGGTAGTAAAAATGCTTATGACATAAACCAGTGTTGACTTTGCTCTAAAATCATTACTTGAACATTTGGAGTTGTTGAGCTTTTAATGCAAAATATTGTTCTTGCAGCTGACAGCACATTCGACAGTGGCCAGGGGTCCACTGTTTACTCAGACTCCCAAAGCAGCCAGCAAAGTGTCATCTACTCGTCCCTGCCTGATCCGGTACCTCCTGCTATCCAGCGGGTGTACAGCCCACCTCTGAGTGAGAGCCAGGCTGTGCCCCACGGCCTTCAGCAGCTGGGGCACTACCAGCAGCCCTCAGGAGTAAGTCTGAAGCTTTTACAAATCAGTTTGTGTTCTAGGTCAGACTGCGTGGCTCATTTATAACTGTTGATTTCAGTACATATGGATTTCAGGGCTTGCTTTATATATCCCTCACTTGGCTTTATTGATGGTGACTTGCTCAGTAATACATTTCTAGTTGGTCTGCAATGCGCGTTTAGTAGATGGTGTGTGGCTCTATTTGCCATTCTGAAGAAATCCTTCACCAGCAACTGTCATAATTGGAGTAAAAAAGCTTCTTAATCCATCCTTTGTCCCTGAACTACATTAGTCACTTTACAGCGATTGCTTTTAAACTCATGCATGTAGTTCAGAACCGTTCTGTGGGTGGTATTTATTTTTAGTTCACTGTCAGTATAGCCATACATTATTGTTCCTTCATTTGCACAAGAACCTCTTGGGTCTGATGTTTCTTCTTGATGACAAAGGCCACACATCCAGTCTCTGCCTGGGCTCTGGGTTTGGATTTAATCTTGCACAGAGTCAATGATGTATGTCCATTACTAAGGCTCCAAAATCAGGCACTAATTTTGTAGTAGTCAGACATTCACACTTGCTCCTGTTTTTGTGCTGTCATGACTTTGACCAAAAGCAATTTATGGAACTACTGGTGCAAGAATAAACACGTGTGAGTGAACATTAATCTTCAGGTGCTTCCAGTGAGAGACACAATGAGTGTTGTGCTTCACTTCAGAAGCTGGCGCACCACCATGTTCCAGTTCCAGCCTACACTCATCACACATGACAGGCAGCTGCTTTTCACCACACAGCAATGCCAGTATGGCTTTGACTCCAAACACAACATTCCTTTCCCAAGAACCAGGAGAGGAAAACAGGTATCTGCAGGCCAGAGAAGAGGCAGCAGGCGTATTGCCTCTGGTGGCACTGGGGGGACCTCTGCAAACCCTCTGGGGCTAGTATTTCCTCAACAATCTCATCAGATATGCCTAGCCTGCTTATTTCAGTCTGGCCAAGATCAAAATGTGTCAAAAGCTTTGATGCTTGTTTAAAGTTCTCATTCCCCAGGTAGCCAATCCCCACAAAACTCGGTGTCTCAAGGGGGAAGAGGTTGAGACACCACATGGCAGAAGCTTAGACCTGTCTCTGTTCCAGGAGTCTTTACAATACATAATTAGCCAAAAGATGAGTTCTTCTCCCACGAGATCTACAAGAGTTGCAGAGAATGTTCTGCCTTCAGCACACTCCGATGGTGGAGAAGCCAATGTGTCTGGACAGTCCCAGCCCTGTTGTAAAGTGTGTGCTGGCAAAACACTGCTGGCAGAGAGTGAGCTGGTGGCTGCAGCTACCCTGAAGAAGTGGGAGCAACCTGCCTGGTAAAAGTGACAGTGATAACCTGGAGGTTCATCTATTTGTTTCTTTGTTTCATCCTACTTGACTTAGGAGAAGTCAAATAAAATCCAAGATGAGCGGCTTTGTCCTGCTTCATCCAGATTTACCCTAATACTTGGCAAGTGCCTGATTTCCCCTGGTTTTACCTGGTCTTTTCCAAAATGCCTGCAAGAAATTATGAAGTATATTTCATGAATGCATTGAAACATGATATGTTGACCTGAATGAAAAAATATCATCCCTGGTATGCAGCTCCCTCCACTGTGGAAACTGTATTTCCTATGTGCATATGTCTCCTGGGACACATCCTTCCTCAGTTCTTGTTCACCTGGAGGCCTAGCTTAACAACTCTAAATATAACACTCAAAAGGCACATCTTGAGCAGTATCTTTTTTTTTCTTTTTTTCTTTTTTTTTTTTTTTTTAATTTTATTAAATTGAGCTGTGCAGCAATCTCAGAGCAGACTCATTCTTTCCATTGATAGGTTTCAGTCGTTTTAACCTAAATGCATTACCTTTGTTGTGATTGGGGGTTTGGAAAGATAAAAAACTTTATTCACAAGCAAAATATCTCTCATAGCTTTTTATTTTCTGATGGTGTTTCCGTGTGGTTTTTATTCCTGTAATAAGTTAGGTTAAAAGTTCCCAGGTTTGAAAATCTCAACAAGCAGAGGAAGCAAAAAGAATCTGCTCAAAACCTACCATTTTCCAAGGAAGATTATTTGCCAAGATAACAAGCACATCACTGGAGCTATAGTAGTGTTGTTTAGGCTTATGAGCCTCAGTCTGACATACTTTATTTAATTTATTTAATTCATCTACTTTGCTTGAGCCAGAGTTTGAGAGAGCAAACTCTCAAAAGAGATACAAATCTTATCTGAATTTTTGTTGTTTTATTTTCACTTCTGTGATTTTAATTTGTTTCTCATTTCTCTGTTCATTTTCTTGTAATCCATTTCAAGTAAATTGCCTGCTTTTGGGGAAGATAAAGATTCTTTATGAAGTTATAAAACTCTTGGTGAAGATTTTTGTTTCACGTGGTTGTTGGCTTGTTGTTTCTGTTGGTATATTGTCAGTAACTGTGTATGTGCTTTGAGTGGTTTTACTGGTCTGCAGACTTGCTTCTAGAAGAAATGCAATGCACTTTGCTTGTCTTATTTGGAATTTGCTGACTTTTTGCCACCTTTTCTTAGATTAACTAACTTTCCTTGCAGATAATTTTTCACTGTTTCCCCCACTCTGTTTTGGTTGAAATACCCAATAGACTGGTTCTTTGTGATTATATCTTTGATACGTAGCCGTAGAGGCTCCTAGCACATGGGTTGCTCCTCTCTAAAGCAGTGCTCTCCCTCCTGCAGCCTGGCGTCCCCGCAGTGCCAGCTGCACCCACCGTGGTGTCCCAGCGGCCCCAGCCCTACCCGGATCCAGTGATGCCGTTCCCCGTGGTCCAGCCCACCACCGTCGCCTCCCTGCCCCTGGGGCAGCCGCAGCCAGTGCTGGCTGGCCAGCAGGTGAGGGCTTGGCTGCTGCTGAAAACTGCCTTCTCTGTCCCTTGCATTACCCTGCCCCTTGCCTTACTCTGCCCTGCTTTGTCTCATACCTGTAGCACGTTTGAGGCATTAGAGACCATGAAACTGCCACTTCAGAGCCTTAGGAATGGGGAACAGGCATTGGGTTTAAGGGATGGAAGAGTAACAGGCTTGAGAACAATTGTGTGATACCTTGGAACATTTTGATGAAGTTTAAGATTTCTCTTCCATTGTGGCTTAACAGGCTTGAAGCCTGGCTTGAAACCTTTTATTAATTTTGCAGCATTATTTGGCACCTCTTTCAACTGACTTTGAATCCTCAGCAGTGCTGCTTTTGGAGTTCTGCAAATAGAGATGTAGTTCAGTATAGGCATCCAGCCAGTAGCTTTATCTTAGAATCATAGAATCCCAGACTGGTTTGGTATGGAAGGGACCTTAAAGCTCATCCAGTTCCAACCGCCTGCCCCAGGCAGGGACACCTTCCGTTAGAGCAGGTTGCTCCAAGCCCCTGTGTCCAACCTGGCCTTGAACACTGCCAGGGATGGGGCAGCCACAGCTTCTCTGGGTACCCTATGCCAGCGCCTCAGCACCCTCACAGGGAAGAACGGCTACATAAGAGCTCATCTCAATCTCCCCTGCTTAAGTTTGAACCCATTCCGTCTTGTCTTGTTACTACAGTCCCTGATGAAGAGGCCTTCTCAGGCAGCCTTGTAAGCCCCCTTCAGGTATTGGAAGGCTATAGAGTCTGTACCTCTCTCTATTGTCTCCAAATAGTAATTCTTCATGCAGTTTGAATTATTGAATTCCCCCCCAAACCTGTGTTCCTTAAAGGCCTCTCCAACATACCTCTCCGGCCAGGTTGTGGTTGGCTCCTTCCATGGAGATGGGCTGAGCCTGAGGAATGCAGCCACAGACCTGTAAGACCCAGTAATTTTTGGCTCATTTTTTTTGTGATTCTACCAAAATCTTGGCTTCCTTCAGTAGAAACTGTTGATGGGGCTGGGGAGTTTCTGTGTACTTTGTGAGCGGTGTGTGTCATACCTCTCCAAACTTCTTTAGTTAGCAACATTTATCTTACAGGTTGCCTTTATAGGTATACTATTCTTCAGAAGACAATGTAATTTGGTCATGTAAAACATAAGCTTATGTGGAGTTTTATCACATGACAGGGTTTTTGTCTAATGGGTAGGGGTATTCTCATGGTTTTCAGCCAAAAATCTTATATTTAGGCAAATGTAGGACCTCAGCAGTTGCACAGGTCTCTCTAGTGGCCTTTGGTCCTTTATGTTGACAGTTCAAAATCTGTTGTTTATTTTCCTTCATGAGTAGATGCTGGTTTGGAATAGGATATTTGCCCCAACTTCCTCACTTTCTTTCACATGCCCTCTCTTCATAGCACTGCTGTCTCTTGAAATAATTCTAACCCTGGTAGTAACAAGATTTAATAACTATTCTGTGTTTCCTAATCTTGCCAGAAAGCCAAATCAAAGAGTGACTTTTTACAGTATTATTATTAGTACAGAAATAGATAAAATGATAAAGTTTCCGTGCAGAACGTTGCAGAGCACCTGTGTGTCTTGGAAACAGAAGTAGGTCTGGTGTTTGCAGAGTCTCCAGGCATGATGCTATGAGCAGTGGAGATCTGTAGTCTTTTGTAAATAAGTGGTAGGGCAGGTCAACCAAGAATGGGAAATCAGGGTGAGAAAATTCCTCTGCCAAACAGAATGAGATGTATTGATCTTGTATGAATACACAGTAATGGCTTAGACACATGGGATCAATGTAGCATCTCAATATTTTTTTGTCTGTTTCTAATTTGGGTATCTGTGCATTTATAATGTAAAGGTTATAGTGGGGCACAGTTCACATAATTCATTTGGATACTTTCTGCTCTCTATGCCTCATCCAATTCACAAGCATATTTTAAAACACAAGATGAATTTGAAATGGAGGCTTTAGGAAGCTGCTTAGTTCCATGACCACATTTTTTTCTTGCTCTTAGCATAGTGTCCTCTCGAGTTGAAGGTGGGTTGAACAGCCTGTGCCAGCTCAATCCTCAGTTATCTGTGGGTAGCCTGTCTGAGCTGCAGATTAACCCAGCCAGGGATGCTGAGTTACCTTTGGGTGCTGCCAAGGTTTACTAGCTCCAGCCCAGCATCCTGTGGTGGGACCGTTCTGCTCCTGAGGTCTGATTGGGTCTGTCAGGTGTGTCCCCTGGTACAGATCTTTTGCTGTGGGATGAGCAAGTGTCTCCAGTGTCTCAGGTGGGCTCCATCCCAACCAATTTACTCTGTCCCATCGTCAGTGCCAGGCCAGCTCCCGCTGAGCCACTTGTTTGCTTTGACACTGCCATTCCCTTGAGTTTGGCATTTTAGTTGGGTAAATGCCCCTGATTTCCCAAAACCTGGAATGGTAGAAACTGCAATACAGAGCTGTGTCATAGAATCAAAGAATGGTTTGAGTTGTAAGGGACCTTAAAGCTCATCCAGGTCCAACCCCCTGCCACAGGCAGGGACACCTTCTGCTAGACCAGGTTGCTCCAAGCCCCATCCAGCCTGGTCTTCTGGTGGCTGTGTGCAGTGCACTGGTTCTTTTGTAATATATGGGCTATAATCTTTTGCTTTTCTTTTCTTTCCCAGCAGCAACCCATAGCCCAGCAGGCATCCCTCCAGCAGGTACTGGCCAGCCAGCCCGTTTGCCCCATTCAGCCTACAACCCATCTGCTGCCCCAGTATCAGCCCCAGACCTCTCAGGTGGCAGCCAGCAGTGCTCCACTGAAACCTCTTCAAATTTCAACCATGCCGCAGCTTCCACCGGTGGCCCCTTCCCAGGTAACACCTTTGGAACCCATGTGTGAATACATCCATTTCAGTAAAGCTTTCCAGCTAATAATTAACATGATTTGTGGGGTTTGTGTGGCTATTTTGAGTGCATGCCGATTTAATTAGCCCATGAGAATATAACTTTTTCCTAATTACTGTACGTTTCCTTACTATTTGTTTACGTTTGGTGAAGCAGAAATCTCGTCTGAGCAGTGCTGTGGCATGCCTACAGAATCCAGTTCATGGCAGTTACCAAATTGCAATAACTGCTGCTTTTTTTCTTTTTTCCATTTTTTGCACCTCCCTTCTGGCATAATCTCTTCCCCATCCCAGGCTTAAGAGCATGAGAAGTTGCCCGTTTATTTTTTCTTTTTCTGAGCTCCTGACTTCCATGTTCCCCACCACTCCCCACTAGCTCTCAGCCCTGTTTCTGTTTTCAGTGGCAAGGATGGACCCTCTCCTTGACCTGGTGGAAGGGTTTGTTGGTGCTATTAGAGTGTTTGTTAGTGACAGGCACCATGATGTGAAGTGGCTTGCACCAAAGGGAAGAAACAAGCTGCTTCCATGATGATGACAGGGTAGTTAGGGTCTGTGGCATCACTGGGAGGTTTTGGTTGCAAAATCCTTTTTATGGGACCTTCCGTGCTGCCTGGGTTGCAGCCAGCCTGTTTTAAAGGGTTTTAAATTGTCTTACTGAATTTTGCATGAAAGAGTTTTGCATTTTATCTGGTCCAATTCGTTATCATTGCTGTTAAAATGAAAGCAACTTTAATTTTTATGTTGCTTGAAGGCTTCAAGCTAGTGTTAGAAATGGTGTCAAGCTTCTAAGGTATAAAAACACTCCCCTCCCCCAAATTATTTTTTTTTCTCTTTTACTAATGATGTAAGCATAAATCAGTTTTTATTACTGTTTATAAACCTCAGGAAATGAATGGAAGTGATTAACAAACAGACATAATTATCATCATGGCACAGATGATTTTTACATACTTGTATGGCAAATGAAACTACTTTGTACCATCAGTGAAAGCACTTGCAATTTATGTGATGTTATATTTTTTTCAGATTCCTCAGTTTCCTGTCATTCCTGCAATTACTCCTCTGGCAGGACTTGACAGCCTTCCTCCAAACCTCTCTGATTTACCTGCTGCAAACGTGCCCCCCATACCTGCTCCTTCTCAGTATTTTGCTCCAGCTGTGATTTTACCCAGCCTCCCCATGAACCCCACTCTGCCTATGGCACCAAGCTCCCCTGCCCTCCCCATGCAGGCAGTCAATCTTCCTCATACCACCGTGGCTTCTTTGGTCTTGCCCTGCCAAACAATAGTGCCAAATATGTCGGCTGCTACAATCCCGCTGCTTGCCGTGGCACCGCCAGGAGTGCCAGCACTGCCGCCACACCACGTGGTGCCCCAGCTCTCCCAACAGCAGATGTACCCAGCCACCTTCCAGCAGATCATTCAGAGCGAAGCGCCCTCTCCTCATCACACTCAGGGCACACAAGCAGCATCTCAGGCGCAGCAACCTCAGTCACTCCAGCCAAGCATAATCCATCCTTCCGAGCAGCCTCTGCCTGTGCCTGGGGCTGGACACCAGGTAATGCTCTGGGCGTGGGGCTGCAGGGTGGTTCTGAGCGCAGGTGATCCTGGGGCTCCCACACTGTACACTCATAGCGGGGAGATCTCTTCCTTGCTGTTAGGATAGTTTGGTAACTTCTTGACCTCAGTCCTGGAGGTGGTTGCTAGAGCTGTGAAGCAAGGTGGAGCATGGGAGGTCTTAACCCAGTGGCAGGTGAATATTGAAGCTACAGGAAATAATCTCACCGGCTTTGGAAAGTGAGCAGGTGAGAGCACTTTCTGAATTCCCCTTTACTTTTCTCATCTCAAATACGACACAAGAACAAGCTGTTGTTCTCCTGTGGCAGCAGCCACCCAGCTTTCCTGATGCTTTTACCCCGGTCTGTGCATGATGCACATGTGCTGCTGTGTGCAAACCCTGGGTGAGCTGGCAGGAGTGAGAGAGAGTAGTTTTGATGTAGAACAGCTTTAAAACAGTAAAGGGAATTGGCTGTTCAGTATTAACTCCAGAAACCTGCATGGAAGAGGTCTATTAGAAAAGAATGAATTCTAGCTGCAGACCATTTCCCCCTCAAATGAAATGAAGCATGAAATGAGCTTCTAATATTAACTCTATTTACAAGAAAGCTGGTTCAGGACTTGTTGACAGAGTCTGTAAATACTTCTATTGCCACATCTGCAATATGACAACATGAAATGCGGTCTGACCCAAGCAGGAGAGAGCACTGAAACTGTTAATAATAGCATTCCTGAAAACCTGTACTCTACCGCATCACTTTGCCATAACATATTGATTAAAATTCATAGCATCCCATTTCAACCTGCCATATCTTGGCATCTTCAAAGCAGTACATCATTTCTAACTTTCTTCAGCTGTATATTTGGTACAGAAATACTGTTTGTGACACTGTAGGCAACATGGAGCCTGAGACAATTACCACTAAGCTCATTAGCTGTAGTGTTTCCACTAGCTTTAGAGGGAGTTGAATCAGGGACAGCAAGCACAGCAAACACCAAAGCTGGGGAACTCGTGTTCCCAAACTGTCCTGACACAGTCATTAGCCAACTAACGTATGGAGGAATTGCCCAGTAATATTTTTCAGAAAAAAAAAGTCGCTATTACAAACAAAATGGACAAATGTAGAGGAATATTCAATAACATACTGTTCTATGTCTTCAAATGCTTTTAATGGAGAGGTGTTTCTGTAAATAAAGGCTTTCCAGAGTAGTGCTGTTGTGGCAGTTGAGGTTTAGCACCTCCCCGTTTACTTTTGCCCAGGTAGATTATACACGGAATCATTTTGTGAGTTATTCTAGCTATACACCAGAGGTGCTACTCTACCAACCTCCACTTAGGCAGTTGTGTAACTGCTGTGTGTTGCAAAGCGCATCACATCTGTCTTTCTATCCACATGTTGTGGTTCAAGCCCAGCTGGTAACTCGGACCCCCGCAGCCGCTCTCTCACTCCCCCTCTTCTTCCTCCCCCCGCTCCCGGAGGGATAGGGAGGAGAATTGGAGGAATGTAACTCCCATGGATTGAGGTAACAGCACTCCAGTAACTAAGGTATAATACAAACCACTATTGCTACCACCAATAATAATAACGATAAGGGAAATAACAAGGGGAGAGGACACAACTGCTCACCACCCGCCGACCGATACCCAGCCCGACCCGAGCAGCGATCTGGGCCTTCTGGGTAACTCCCCCCAGTTTCTATACTGGGCATGACGTGCTGTGGTATGGAATAGCCCTTTGGCTAGTTTGGGTCAGGTGTCCTGTCTCTGCTTCCTCCTGGCTTCCCCTCCTTCCTGGCAGAGCATGAGACTGAGAAAGTGCTTGGTCAGAGTAAACATTACTGAGCAACAACTAAAGACATCGGTGTTATCAGTGTTGTTCCCAGGCTGAAAGTCACAAACACAGCACTGCACCAGCTACTAAGAAGGAGAAAAAATGACTGCTGTAGCTGAACCCAGGAAACCACATTAAAACCTGGAATCACAATTCCAGCTCATATCCAGAATGTGCAGAGAGCAGGCACCAAGAAAATTACGTGGCCTAGTTCTCATCTGAACTCTTGTCTGATTGATTTTTTTTTTTTAAATGTATATGTCCTACAAATAGGCTAAATCTCTAAGCGATGATTCTACAAAAAACTAAAAATTAGGCAAGAGTTTTACCTAATAGTAAAAAGCCTTTTTTCTCCCATATTTTCCATTCTTTCATTTTTCTTCTTCCCACAAGCTTAGTCCCCTTAGAAAAATACATGGTGTACCTAAAAGGAGAATGTTCTGTTCTTAAATGTACAACTCAAAAGAACTGTTATGCAGAATAACAACACAGTCTCTAAGGTGGTTGACATCTGATCACATCAGTCCAGTTCCCACAAAGCACTTACGCACACAAGTTATTTTAATGCACTGAAGAAATCCGCTGAGATAAATGAAACTTCTTCCTCTGGGCATGTAGCACAAGGAAGCGTTTGCAGGACTGGAGCCTTGGTGCTTAGCATGTGTCTTAAATATTTCAACTAAATAGAAAACAATGTGTTCTGCAAGACACTGGTATATATCCAGAAAAAAAGAGCTGAGTGTGTGGTCTGTACCAGCCATTGGGTTCACAGAGAGAGCTGAGGTTTTAAAAAATCCTAATTTAGAGCATGGTTAGAGTGTCTTTTTCTCAGCATGACCCTTGTGGCGGCTCAGTGAAAGCAGAGCAAACTATTCAGGACAATGAATTCATAATCTAAGATTTTAATTTCTTAGCAATGTATGGCTTTGTTTCTACAAACTAAATAGCACCTGAGCAGTACACACATTGTCATAATGATAGAGGAGGAATCCTTGTATTTTTATGTGGTTGTTTCAAAGCAAGTTTCAGTGGTTACCTGTCTAAGCAGAGACCACACAAATATAGTCTCGCTGCAGAATCACCACCCTTTCTCCGTGAGCACCAGTGGCTTTGGTGCGTGGTCATGTAAGTCACAAGCACTCTGAGTAGAGGTTTGTTTTAACAGCTGTCTGTTGTGTTACAGCAGATGACTGGACACACTCAGTATGCTTTGGAGGCTGGAGCCCAGGTGCCCATGCTGCCAGTGCAACCCTCCATAGTCATGTCACCACCTTTGCAGCTGCAGCCCGAGCTGCTGCCGCCCCGTGCCGCTCCGGAAGGCGTTTCACAGCTCCATGGCAGCCTTGCTGCAGCCAGCCCGCCTGTGCCCGTAGATCACTGCCTGCCTCTGCAGCCTTCTGGCCTGCTCCAGCCTGAGTTCCCCCAGCCGCTGGCTCAGCAGCTCCCAGCTCCCTCCTCAGCGGGCCCGGCACTCGCAGAGACATCTCAAGAGGTACTTTCCTCTGAAGTAACTCACCAGCTTCACCCTTAACCATCTTACTTACTCCTTTGTGAAATAACGTGCTTATTTCACAAGGGAGATTATCCTCTCTCATCACATAGAGCTGCTTGTCCTGGATGCTGGCAGCTCTGGGTCAGCACATAATTGGCTGTTTCAGATGAAGCTGGGAACTGCATGTCATACCTTGTGGAATGTCTCCTTGAAGTAATGGTGCAGCAGGACTAAATACCTCTTTGTCTGTAGCTGAGCATAAACGCAGAGGTAGAAATCACTTTCTTTCAACTGCTGGGGGGTCAGTAAGGAGCTGTTCTGTGGAGTTTCATCCATGTTTTGTCCAGTCTTGTTTTAAATGTCTCAAACACTTGTGCAACCAGCCATCATTTCCGTAAGAAACTGCTTCATCATCTGGTTCTTCACTATGTAAAAGCTCTTCATGCTCCTCAGCTTGAGCTTTATTCCCATTTCATTTAGTGTTGTATCCTTCTGTATTGCTTGAATTCTAGTCTAGCCCTGGGGATTTTGTTTTTTCAGATATTCATAGGCATTCCCAATTCTCAGTGGTCATATAAGCAAGATACCTTTTACCGGGTTTCTTTATAAAACTGTCAGCCCCTCCTGTCTGCTATTTTGACTTTTCTTTCCACCCCCATGATCGTTTAACCTTCAGTCTTGACAGAATGTCACAGAACATTTCCTTCTACTTGGCTTTTTAATAGGTATCCATAAGCAAAGCAAAACAAAGGTGTTGGCATTCGTATCAGATTTCAGTAAATAAGTCTGATTTGTTCTCCACTTCCAAGTGGAAATGTCCCTCAGCAATTCTCCTTTTGGAATTGTTCCTCTTGAGGCTCTCTGTTCAGGGCTACCTTTCTTCCCAAAGCAACAGTTCCCCTCTTTTCAGAAGAAATCTCTTTGGTTTTACCCTGTTCTCATGCACTTGTTGCATGCCTTGACTACACAGTGCAGCCTAATTTCAGCAGAGGTACAGCTTATCTCCTCTTCCAGACGATGTTCAGTAAGGATGCTGCTAACACTAAAATGAGGTTCTAGTTCCCCATTTTGCCTATTCTTCTAATAGCAACCTTATTCTTGTAAAATAAATATTCATGCAGTGATGCAGGATGTTTCCTGGTGAGTTTCTGTATCTTATTGATCAGATGTAGCAGGGATGGTAGAGCCCATCTGTAGTGCTTCACTTTGCAGGATCCTCAAGTAACGCCTGGCTGTCATATCCCTTGCCTATTTTTTCTGTATGCACAGCTCATGGTAGGTTCAATGCTGATGTCAAAGCTACAGCTTTCAATGCAGGGTCCATCCCATTAGAGAGTTGGAAATATTAATAAACCTGGTTTCTGTTGTGCAGTGTGATAAAGGGGATACAGGTGGTCCTGTATTACCTGAGAAATCCATGCCCACTGAGACACATGTCTGTTCTGTCACTTGATTATATCCCTAGGAACTTTTAGCCACTGCTTTACTACCTTCATTCTCATATTTCATCTTATAAGTTAACTCCATTCTCTCTCTCTCGATTCAAGAAATCAATCCAGTATCATAAGATGGTGAAATTGATCAATGTGCTCCCTATGCTGATTTTGAAACATATATTGCTAAGGTTTTCTTGGGTGTAAGAGGAGTTTCATATCTGTATATATTGGAAACATTGTTTTTTGTTGCTATTCCACCATAATGTTTTTATCTCTTCTCTTTGTTTAAATGTGCAGCGGTACTTACATCCAAACCAACCCAAATTAATTGGGCTAATAAGATTTTGTAAGGCACTTGATCAAGTGCTTTACTAAAATTTAGATACATTATGTCTGTGTTCTCACTGTTCATTAATTTTGCAGTTTTATCGAAACTGCAGTCAAGCTTGGCATGGCATATGTGTGGCATTATAAGCAAGGAGTGGGGTTGACTGATTAACTGATAAGCTTTTAACTCCAGTCTACCAACTGCTTTGGTATGAAGATGTGGTCACAGTCAAGGGGCTTGTTTCTAGCTGTGTGTCTACAGAAGGATTTTATAGACATATGTTTGTAAATATATATAAATATA